ATGTTTTTTTAATTAGGAACATCTTAACAGCTGTTCTCTAATGAGAAACCACACTGGTTGAAGCTGGCAGCGGGATTAAATGAACTCATTACATGAATATGCTTCAGTAACGAGTCCCAAGTCATTTTTTTAATTCAGAACAAGGGATGCAACTAACGATTGTATTGCAAATCGATTATCTGTCAATTATTTTCTACGATCAATTATCGGATTACCAAAGGCTACCAAAAACCTTTTTTTTTACGAAATTAAACCAGGTGAATCTTTAGCTTTTCCACTTGAGGAGTTCTGAATAGAGCATATTAGCAGGTTTTTTTATTTTAAATGCAAAATGTTTACATATTTTTTTACAATTATGATATAATTACTGCTCTAATTGGGTTGCTCTGTCGGCTAAAGGCATGTTTTAGAGTCTTTATACTCCAGTTAACAAATGATCGATTACTAAATTAGTTGACCATTATTTCAATAATCGATTAGTGCATTTAATTGTTTCAGCCCTAATCAGAACCTTTCATTTGGCTCCTGTATGGAGTGATTTTTCTGCCAAATGCATAAAGTATGTTTTTCACAAACAAATCTTATCACTCACAAACAAACATGTTGCATTCAAATAAATCTTATTGTTCACAAATAAAACTTGTGTTACAAACTCTCTTTTAATGTCACACATGAAAACTTTCTTTCAAACTGTCCTTAAATGTTGCACACACACAAAAAATAGTTTTACAAACCGGACTCTAACATTGCGCTTAAAATATACTTTGTAAATCGTCCCCGAGTACAAAATGATCTCTGCTCGCATACAAAACAGCCTCTCCTCACATACAAGACAATTCCTCACACTCTGCGGTAAGTTTCTGCCAAAAGTCATGTGATGCATGGAGAATTGTAGTCTGACTAACTGACAGCAGGGGGCGCCGTACAATCAAAACAACTGAAACGATACATACTGCACTTAAAATACAAATTATAAGTGCAACGTTAGAGTCCGGTTTGTAAAACAAATTTTTGTGTGTGTGCAACATTTAAGGACAGTTTGAAAAAAAGGTTTTCGTGTGTGACATTAGAGGAGAGTTTGTAACACAAGTTTTATTTGTGAACAATAAGATTTATTTGAATGCACCATGTTTATTTGTGAGTGATAAGATTTATTTGTGTGAAACATGCTTTATGCATTTGCAACATGCTTTATGGATTTTATGGATTTTTGTAGACAACATTTTGGAAGAAAAATCACTCCATACTCCTGCTGGTTTCTATTAGGGTGTGTTTCACAGCCGATGTTGTGCTCTGTGCTCATGAATGTGTGTATCCAGTAGGAAGGTGGGCGCAGTCTGAAGGCTATGTGCAGTTCAGCGGTGGGAGCAGAGCGGCTGGCTTTGTCTTTGGATTGGTCCACTGGAAGAATGGAAAGGTGCCGGCTGTAATAGAATCTTCTTTGTCAAATCTAAATATTCAGAGTTGATGTCAACACGTCCCTCCTGTTCCCAGCAGCAGTGACATCCGGGTGGTGTGCAGTGATTCTGCAGGCTGCGTCGGGGTGTTCTCGCTGGCTGAAGGAGCTCTGGTGGCTCTGTCCCAATGGAAAGCGCATGACTTTGAGGCCTGGATCACAGCTTTTTCCTACTGGAACACACAGCTGGTTTATTCTGGTAACACAACTCAGGATTATATTCTGATTGCATATAAGTTTTTCATCATTGAAATTATTACTTGGGTTGGTTCAGAACCTATCCTTAAATAAAATCTAATCAATTCAGTTTATTTCTATAGCACCAATTCACAACACATGTCATCTCAAGTCACTTTACAGTTCACCAGATCATACAGTCATATTCGTTTAAAGTTTTCTAAGGAAAACCAGTTAATTACTGTACATTGAATC